ATGTCGCACGCGACGCATACTGGTGCGGCGAATTACGATTCTCTTCGTCACATACCCCGTTCAGGTAGCTCTATGAGGCAAAAAAGCAAGGAAAATCTGAAATCTGCTAAGCAAAATCTTGTGCCGTCTCATATCCATCATAGTTGGGCTTTTGTTGTAAGCACTTGGCTACACCAGGTTGTGACTTGGCCGTCCTTTTGGCAGTGGCGAGGGCAAAGTTGCCGGGCACACGGATAAAATAAGGCAAGGCTACGAAATTCACATGTCATTTCGCCGAAAGGTTGCAGAGTTTCCATGAAACAGTACAAATTTATATTAATTATGCTCCGCAAGTAGCTAATAGCCGCCATGGTAATTACTGGCACTATTTCCTCGAATACTATTAGACTAGAATATTATTGAACTTAGAGAATAAGACTTGCGACACTCGTGACATTTTTCAAAGTTTAATTACTTTACTAATCACAAATATAATGGTGAATTATAGTTGCCAGCGTCGCCGTCAGTAGGAGTGATGTCATGAGGAGCAGAATGAGCCTGCCTCCAGCTGCCTTGCCCTACCAGTAGTGATCAAAGTGATCAATCACACTGGTAGTGCAAGGCATCTGGAGATGGGTTCATTCTGCCGTCTTAGGAAGAAAACAACCAAAGGTAAAAAGCCGCGGGTCGGGTTTCCGGCCAGATTGCTGATTCGTTTGTGAACACTTACTATTCGTTAAAATTGCAGTGCGCGAGGGGCCTCAAGAACACCAAGGCACCCTAACTCCTTGGTAAGGCACACTACTTCAGTGTTGGTACAATATTGCTGTTTGGCCTGGCCAACAATATGCAGTTTGGCCCCTCCAAATACACTCCAAATCTCAGATATAGGGAGGGTGTGGCTGCGTACTTCAGCTGAACTTGGCGTAGGATGCGCTTTTTCACGAATATTTCGATTCGAGACATTTATCACTCTGACCGTGTATGACACGAAAAAAAATTATTAATACTCTCTTCAATTACCAAAAGGAGCACCAAAAAGGGATACACCTAGTTCACGTTACAATTAAAACACACCAGCCACACGCCACCCTGTCTGTGGGATATAAAGTGTACATACGACACAATCCACAGAGATTACTCACAAATCATCATTACGGGCTGACGGTATACTGGATCTAACCAGGCGTGGATGGAAGTCGGTAACACTGTTCAATTAATTTTTCTATTTTTAATCAGACACATAGGATATACGAACTTCCCTGTAAACTTCTTAAGACCTTATCAATGGTTTCTGCTATAAATCTTGTTGTTGTTTTGAGTGCAAATGCACAATACATTACGCTGCACTATTGCCGAAACCGTTAACAAGAAATTCAGTTTTCGAGAGTAAACCATTAAAACGAAAGGAGAACTTTTATTTCTTACAGTACTTAGGAATCAAAGAATAGACGGTCGGGGAACGGCATGTTTGACAAAAACTCAGTCGCAGGATCTGATGAGGTCAAGGGCTGTGCGCTTTACTCAAGATTTGTTCCTACGAAAGTCTAAGAAATGTAGATGTCTACCGTTCATGGAGCGCTCCCCCGTACTGTTTGGAAGGGGCATTTTGCAAGCCGGCTGGTCCCTTTCTACTAGTAGGCTCAGCCTGGTCAGAGTAACTTCTTAGTTGAAGTTGCGGAAATCGTTGGCAGCTCAAGTTAGGTCACAGGACAGTTTACATGCTAACAAGTTGGCCAGTACAAGATTAACTGACAATGAGTGCCATTCGGTGCCTCCTCCAAGCCGAGCTGCGCCAGCTATGTAGATTACAACCACTGTTAAATGGTGAAAAGATGGTAAAGGAGTAACGGAACTGTCGGTGGAACGCGACGATCGAGCCAGCCAGGTTATCAGAACGCTTTATCCTTCGGCTATCAAGGGGAGTTCGAGCTACTAGACAAGTATAAATGATTTTATCGCTTCTTGCCTGCACTGGAGAGGTTTTACGTGGGAAGTCCCTACAATTGACGTATATTGGCAATTATGAGATTGAAACCAAGCGACTAAGGCACAAAACCACTAACTATTTTACAACTAGCACGCCGAGGCTACAAAAAGAAATAATGTTGCAGTAATATCGTGGAATACAAGAACATAAGTTATTGGTTGCTAGCTGGTTGATAATCGGGAGCAGGTTAAAAGTGCGGCTAGGCTTTTAGGATTTACGTTCAAACGGTAGGGAGATCCCCATTGAGGGCTGGGGCCAAGTTTTTTCTTGAGAAAAATGTTTCGGCTGTTGATCTTCTTCTGTTATTTCTTATTTCTATTGCGCAGTTCTTCCCTCAACGACTGTTTTTTGTTTTCGGAAAAAAAACGCGAAAAAGCGGTTGGGAAGCTGTGAAATTAGGAGGATGCGTAGGATAGGATGGAGGATGGGGAAGCATGTTTTCGCTCTAGAGATCAAGGGATTCTGATAAGGTTCTATTTCTCCAAAATTTACAAAATGCGCCCTTCTTCTTCGCCACCAGTAATCCGGCAGTCGTCCCAGACGGGTCGCTGGGTGGTCTATCAAGACCCAAGGTGGGGCCAGGGTGGTCTTGTTGGATTCAAAAAGCAGGGTGGTACCATGACGGACCACTTTAATGGCTTTTAATGACTTGAACAATAGAAAGAAACTCGTCCAGAGCGTATGGGTAGAGAAGTCACTGATTTATCTTGGCCCATGACAGGATGAGAAACTATGAGGGGCGCTTGGAGACGTATTATTTGAGGACTTCAAGAAGGACTAAGAAACGCTTTCGTGTCAAGATTGCAAGTAAGTCGGGCATGGACTCATATAAGACCCCCAACGCATAAATATCCTCGTTATTCATTTCGCACACATTAAGCTAGGATCAGTACGGAAGGAAAGCGGAGTCGATTTTGCCTTCCTTGCGTAGGACTGGTCAGAAGCGTGACAAGATCTTACGCCAGTACTTACTAATGAGGGTAAAAAGGCAAGCTGAACTTCACATAAACGGTCGGAGACCGTTAAAATTGTAATTCTCCCATCTTTCGAAAAAACGATTCCGATGTGTTCCTACCCACTTGCCATCGAGCTGCAGAAGGAGAGGAAGACTGAGGTGTCACGCCTGCAGTAAGCCTCTCCCCCCATCTTGCGGTTCCCGATCACCACTGTTTGCCACCCTTTTAGAATTGTCACAATATGGCTTCCCAACTCTGAACTACATCAAATCTAGTCTAGCTGAAGAACTGTTAGAAGAGCAGACCACGAAAAACTGGAAGCAAAGAAGCACATGCGCTAGCAGTAAGGTGGACAAATTTTCACGAGGATAGTCATGTGTCCAGCGGGGATCGCAAAAAAAGAGGCCTAGCCGCAATATAGAATTGGAGGGCAGTTCGGCGACGTGGGGGCAACTTGCACACTTGCTACTTCCCATCGACGTCGCGACCCACCTTGAAAGCATTTTTGAACTGACAGGTTTTACCGTGGTGGCTCGAGGAGCTTGCTCCAGCCTTCACCAAGGGTTTCACGAAGTTCCCCAGATGGTGGAGACATGACATCGGAATACGTGAAGCAGTGAAAGTGCGAAATGGACGCCCCCCCCTGCTTGCCAAATTGCGCCCAGAATTGGCTTTAGATTCAAGAAGAGGATTTCCCAGCCGATCTCCATGTCTTGTTCACCTTCGTGGAACTTTCTGGAGACGTTGCTGTTATGGTGGAGGGTAGCGGTTGTCCAGCTTCTCGGACAACAGCGCCATGAGGCAGCCCGGGAGCAGTCGGGACACTTCCGCAAGGCATTCGTGACCCTTTCATCCCATGCACTTTTCGAGGAGAGAAATGTGGCACGCTACTGCATGTGAACCTACTTTCACAACGGCGACGATTAGGATCCGCAGGGGTAAACGTTCAGTTCTTATTCAATAGGCGTACTGATTCGGAGTGTAGCATAAATCCCGAGTAGCGGCATCGCTTGCACAGCATTCCTTAGCCGGCGGGCTAGGAAGGCACAGAAACACACAGACAGCGCTGCGACACAGTGCAGCGCAGTATTGAGCGGAATTGGTTCTGATGCGGATACTCGGTTTGCAACGCCTCCTTTGCCGCGGTCGTCGCTTCTCAGAACTCGCGGTACACACCCGACAATTTCGACACTTACTCATTCTTCAATCTTGCGCCATCCAACGCTAGAAGGGGAAGGGGTACCGATGAAGAGAAGTGTTCGACTCCCCCACCGGCTTCTTACTGCGTGGATGGTACTAGTACCAGAGTCGCTCGTGGGGATAAAAACCACTGACTTATACACCGGTTGGGCCACAGCCCATGTGCGTTTAACAAACCCCTGTGCCATGCCCGCAAGGGCAAAGGCCTTCAATTACATATTCAATTCCCCCATCGCTCTCGACTTTGCACAACCGACAATTTATCAAATGTATTTATACATTATTAGTGGATCACTTTTACAATCATATAAATCTATATTGAAAAGTAAACGTGGATGTCGAGAATCGGTTGTACGAAACTATAGGTGTTGGATTGTTGTTGCTTGTGAGAACTCGATTTAGTGAATCCGGACAGCAAATCCTAAAACAGTCAGTCGGTTTGGGTGCAAATTTGAGAGGATAGAAGGAATTGTAATTGAATCGCATTGACTGCTAGAAGCTAAATTGCTCTTCAACTTCCACTTGAGCAGCCCACATCGCCTGGTGCCTGGTTTAAGGGAGGGGGGGGGGAGGGGACGTTGAAGAACTTTGCACCTTCGCTGGTTTTCTTTTGATGGTTTGTGTTCTCATGAGTATTGGCTGTGATCGGTGAGAGCCAGCAGAACAAGCAGAACTCCAACAAGCCGAACTAGCCGAACTGCGCCTCGATCTCAAAACCGTGGAAGCTTGCTAAGTCCATAATTGAATTGCGTCAGCTCGCTTCCCAAGGTTCTTCTAGAACAATTTGAGTACGAAAAAATGGCTAGATCTGTTTTAGGCCTCACTCTTGAGGAAATATATCTTGATGAGTCGACGGGCGGGGCCTCATACCCTCTGGACCTTCCTCCTCAGTGAGCCGCTCCATCTGGTATGATAAAGTGTGGCACGTCAGTGAAGGCGTGATCATGATAAATCTCCAGACACCTACATCGAGTTACTGCGTATTCATTTATTTATTAAGAGTTAGAGTTACTGCGTATTGGGCCCTGAGCATGGAGAAAATTCGGTCCTATCAATTTTGACACTTATAGGGTTCACCCTAGCGAGTGCTATCCGTGGGAGGTCTACGATATCGTAGAACAGCCATGCAGCAGCGATCTTTAGTTTAAAGAGTTCCTGCAGCAAAGGATACCCGTAACACAATCTTTGCTGCAAGGATGACGGACCTCAGTCAGTACGCTTGCGCGAGATTCGCTTCGTGGTGCACCAGTATGGTAGCTAGCGGAAGCTGGACGAGGCGACCTTGTGAAAACCTCTTAAACTTTCTGGTAGTCAAACTGATTCGATCATGCATTCTGGGCGAGTTTTTTGCAGGAGTTTAGCAGGTCTTGCTTTCTTGTTGATTCAGCAATCCCCCTCCCTTACCAATTCCCTCCATCAAAAGGCTGCAGTCGTTATTTGATGTTCTTACGCGCCCTTTAAAGATATCGTTAGTTGAGACTAATAGTGGAGGATGTACTAACTTCCGTCAGCTCCAAAATAGCGGAGATGCCAGAGCCGCCGGCCCACGCTGGCTGCCATAAACTCTTCTTAGTCCTGTAAGGCTGAAGGACCGCACTTCAGGCAAATCATTTTTATTGGAAGCTCATATACTAGCGTGATCCACTAAGTGATAGAAAAAAGGCACGAAAGATAGAATCATGGAAAACTGCCCTATCCTAGAATCCTATGCTGGCAGGGTGGGCGGGCGGCCGGCTCCTACACCGGCGTGAGCGCTATCTCTTTCGCATTTTTTGATGGGGTACAAAAAGTAAGTACACAGGCGTCATTCTCATATAGGTGAGGGCTATGATATTCCAGAGGGCGCGGCGAACATCAAATGAACGTGGCGCGTGCTTTTAAAGCCAAACTGCAGCGCTGGCATGTGTTGCCATTCCCCCTACGAACTACAGAGGGACAAAAAATACTGCTTCTAACAAGCCAGCCAACACAGAAACATTGAAAGAAGTAAGCATTTGCAAGGAACACAGTCCATATTTCCATTACCTCGGATTAGTAATGCTTCTATCCGCCAACGTCTTCGGTTCAATCGAGTTTAGCGTACAGCCGTTGTGACACTGGGAATTTTGTAATGACGTCACTTGGATTTGAATCCTCTTGCCAGCTGGTGCCTGTATCAAAGAATTTTCAATGAAAACTAGAAAGAATTTGAGACACTAAATCAAGCCCAAACACCCACAGTTATCCAATGGTTGCATTCAATGGGTGTGTCGCGAACTCCTCCTGTGGTTGACCCGAATGTGAACTGTTTCACTTGCCACCGATCAGTAGCTACAAGCGTTTCACCACATCCGGACGGCTGAAAACTTTTCTAACACTACCAGTTTGTTGACTAGTCGTAGACTATAATCAAAGTAAGGGAGTAGTATCGCCTGATAAACTCTTGTGGAAAGAAAGACAAAATGTACTTACAATGGGAACCAAAAAGTTATTCAGAGGCACAATGTATGTGGGCCATTGGGGGGAAGACGTGAGCGAATACACTTCTGTATTCCTAATATGTGCCTCCTCCTCTAAAATGGCTAAGAAGAGAGGGGCACACACAAGTTGAGTGGCTCCGCCCCACAATCAACGTGTACTGTGTCTTGAATGCTTAGTATACGAATTAATTATAGACAACTAGCGATGTTTATCCCGAAGGTTCTTGTGACGTACGCGGTATACCTTTGCAAATGCGGACCTGGCTACCAAATGCACCATTTCACGGATCACGACCGCGATGATTGTCTTCAAAAAAATGCTATGGGGCGGCGGACTGGCTCATTCTGCAAAGGAGCCAGTGCGTTTGTCTCGGCCGACCCTCTTATGCGCACGCTGTATACGTCTTTGCTTGGATCGGCAACAATTCGCAACTAATTCCATGGCCACGCCCCCTTTAGACAGCGTGATATGGCTGTGGTTACATAGAAGCTTGTTTCGGCA